CAATTTTATACACTGAATAAGTTCCATGACCTAGATATTTGATTATATGATAGCCTTCGCATGTGCTTCTAACATCTTCTCTTTCCATCTGGTTTACTTAATTTTCTTCCTCCATTGTTTAATTTTATTTTTGATTATTTTTGCACTTTAATTAAGATAAACATAAATTTTATAATCAAATAATTAAGAATTAAGATACTTTTCTAATTAAAAGAGTGTTTAGAGACTTTGATGTATTTTGATCATCAAATATATTTAATCTTTGATATTTAATTAAATTCTTATATTATTAAAATCATTTTTACATACTATGTTTGCACATTTTAGCAAAGATGGGTTTAATTAAGAAGATAATTAAGTATATTAAAACTATACAAAAATTAGGAATTGATTGCTGCTCCTTTAAGAATCACAAAATAAATTATAAATAATATAAATAATTGAAATTTAACTAATACTTAATGTTAATTATTTTATCAATTACATATCTTGAATGTCCAACTAAAAATATTTCAATCCTCCTCAATTAAATATGATTATGCTAAAATTATATTCCTTTTATTTTAGTAACAAATATATTTAAAATTAAGATATTTTTATTTTTAAATAAAGAATTATTCAAGAAGCTAATAGATTCATAATCTTATCTGTTTTCTTCCTCTATAACTATTTTGATAAACATATTTAGTTTATTTAGTAATTAAATCATCAACAAATATACAAGTCTTTTACTAAACATATAAATAAGCAAATCAATTTTAAATTGAAAAAGATTAATGGGGAAATTGATTTATCATTGAATATTTATTATAATTTCTCATATTCTTTTTTTCTCATTCAATATTCTTCTTACATCTTTTTCTTCTAATTATTCGATCTTTATTTTACCCTCCTACATAAACTTTAGTTTCTCATCATAGCTTAATTGTAAGCTTGATTCCTTTATAATCTCATTTACATGATACTGTCCATCTATCAATTCGAAACTTTAACAATTAATTATCTTTCTTAATGGTTCCATCTAAATATCTTTAATTAAAGAAATAAGATCACTAATTGAATAGCTATCCGTTAACCCACTTAAAAAGTTAAACTATGGTAAGTTTTTAGCTATTAGTTATTCTCTAAATTTCTTCTCTGGTAATAATATTACTGTGGCTTTATCATATGGTAATTTTTAAGGATAAAGGTCCAGTTTCTCTGGAGACTGAGTGATTAATACTAATTTGTGTTCTTATTCTTAACATATCTTTAAAATTTCGATTAATTTATAATATTTCTCCTGTTGAACAAAACTAAAATATTCCAAGTCATCAAAAAATACTAGCTTTTTTCTTTCTTACTTTATCAATTCAACCATCTATGATGCTTCCAAATTTTGGAACTCATTAACACAGTTGAAAAACAAATGACAAGAATCATTTATTTATGCAAAATATTTGCATAAAAAAGTCTTTCCAGTTCCTGGTCTTCCTGTTATTAATATACCACTGAATGGACCTTCTTTGAATTTATTTAATTGTTCTAATGTTTCCTTTACAGAATCCTCAAGTACAATATTTAAACCAGTCTAAATCATTTTATTAAATTATTAATTATTTCTCCAATTCTTTTGGTATAAAAATAACTTCATTTCAAATCTTAATTCTGTTCTGATGATTTCCATTTATTTAATTATATTTTGGAAATAATTATCTTTTATTTCTAAAAATCAATATATGATTTTGGATTTGAATAGATGATTTTTTGAGGAATTTTTATGAGAGAGATACTATCCAGAATCAATTTTTTTAAAACAATCATTACTTATTTATTCTTTCCTAATCGTAATTTTGAATTACAAATTTATATTTTAACCTTGATTTGATGATGCTGATTATATTTTTTATTAATAGAATATTTAATTTTTTGGGGATGCAAATTGAAAAAATTAAAATAAATAAAAGAAAAATGTTTTTTATCATTTTATTCAAATTAAAGTTTTAACAAAATAATTTCTAAAAGATGCATGATTTTTTTCACTAAAATCATATATTTTATGAAAATTAATTGAAATTTTATTTATCCTTTTTTTTAGCCAAACCTGAGAAATTGAAACAGTCGTTTTTTTCAAAAGATACTTAAAATCTATTGTTATTTTTTATTTCACAAGAATTTATTATAATTCATGCAAGATTCTATTGTGGAAAATACCCCCTATTTAAGTTTTTACAAAAGTTTGTTAAGTATTGATCCAATTTTTTGTATTATAAATTAATTTAGATTTCAGTTACTTTTTAAATTGAATTATATTACGAAGTCAACTAAAAAATAAATTTAAGGAAAAGATACTTCTTTATATAAATTATGGGCTTTTCATTTGATTGCTGTTAGTTGTCTCTACAAAATTTTTATACTCGCTGTGCCAAACCTTCTCAATTGAGGTGTGTATGGTGGAAGAAAAAATGATAATACTGCATCCAAACTTTTTTAAACTTTTTAAATATATTTATTCGGCTACAGCAATAAAGTCATTATTAATAATTTTACTCATCATATTATAATATTTATTAGGTGAAGTAGATAAAATTATTAATATAATTATATTAATATTTCAATTTTTTAAAGACAAAGAGATGAATAAGCTATTCTTTAAGAAATCAATATATAACATGATCTTTATAAGTTCATTTTTAGTAATTCATTATTTTTAAATAAAATCAGAATTATTAAATAAAGAGTTTATATTGATAATCCTTAACAAAAATTGAATTAGAATTATAAAGATTCTCAAAAGTTAAATAACTTAAAATTATAAAGTGCTATTATAAACTATGATAAAGTAGAATAGGAACAATTGAAATTTATATCTCTGGTGGCAAAAAGCTTGATAGTTTAAGAATTTTCTAAGAATGTTAATATTAATATAAATCTACTATTTTTTAATTCTATTTAAAATAAATATATTCAGAATGACTAAAAAGAAGAAAATATTTTACAAAAAGTACTTGTTTTGTAAAACATATGTATATACTTTAGCATCTGATTTACATGTTTATATTTTTTTAAATAATCAAATCACAAAACTATTTAATTAATTTTTGATATACTTTTAATTTGAAAGAGTTTATGTTTACATAAAAGTGAAATCTTGAATTTTATTTGTTAAGATCTTCGAAAGAATCTTGGAGGAATCATATTTTAAGGTTTTTAAAATTGTTCAATTAATAATTTTGGGAGATATAGAAGGAATATTTTGTAAACTCAAATGTTAATTTTGCAATCAAATAACCTGAAGATTATCAGTATCAGTAGAATAAGATTAAAAACTGTCAATTTTCAAATTTCATTAAATTACGTTCTTCCTTTGGAGAAATTCTTAATACTAAATAACTAAATTAATTGATTAAGCCATTAAATTAGAGTCTAAGTTTGATTGTGCAAAATTCATCTTCAAAAATAAATTCGAATTCTTTAATTCAAAAAAATTAATTGATTCTAATGATACTCATTCGAAACAAGTTATAAAATATATTTTATGAATAGATACAAAACTCTTTTTTTATATGAATAATTATAAAATACATATGGAATCATTAATAAATGACTAAAAACAATATAGTGATTATATATGCTCTTATTTTAAATAATAATCACTTAATTTTACTTTCTCATCCTTCTCATTTATATGATTATTATGATTATTGCAATAAATTCCTCATTTCTTAATCTGCTCTTTCTTAATCTCTCCTCATTTATTATTAACGTTAATATTCCTCTTCTTATTATTTCAATTATTGATTTATTCTTTCTTACACATTATTAGCTTCTACACCCATTGTCCAAGGATGTTACAAACATTCTTCAGGTGTTATTCTTCTATTAAAATCAGGATCAATCATCTTATTAATGAGATCTCTTAAAATATAGAAAAATATAAAATACTTAAAATCATCTGGAAATCCTTATGGAAATAGTGTTTAATGTTATTTATTTTAAATATTCCAAAATTAGGCATAATCATTCTATTTAATTAAATTATATAGTTATTCTTTACAATTGTTAAAAGCAAATTAACCAGTTATCATTTTAAATAATATTTATGCAGCAGCAAAAACATCAACTTTTGATCCATCATAGGCTATTCTATCCAAAAGTTCAGGTCCCATATAATCTAAAATTTTAAATTGTAAATATACATTCTGTTCCTCCAAAGAAGTCGTTTATAAGGCCATTTGCTTATTTAGAAAATCCAAATCCTGCAAATTTTCAAATTAAAATCTGAGTCAAACACAATATTATCTGGTTTTAAATCCAAATGACAAATGTTAAGACCTTTCATATAAATTAAAGCTGTCATTAATTAACGAAAATAAAATTTTGAAGTTTGTTCGTCAAATCTTTTAAGTGTTAGCAAATATGAAATCATAGTACCTTTTTCTCCTAATTCTAAGATCATACCAATTTTATAAACAATTTATCCATTTTTTTTCTATTTATAAGAATTTAATTACTTTGTAGGTAAAATTATCGCTATATGTTATAAGTTAAATTATTCTTGGATGTTTATTGTTATTAAGTTATTATAAAATTTAAACCTCTTATTATAGTTTTTATATTATTTTAGGCCATTATTCATTTTATATCTTCAAAAACTTAATGGCTACTAATTAATGACCTTTTTGTCCCAATTTAACACTTATGACTTATAATCAATTTTAGACACTGAATAAATTCCTTTGCCCAGCTTTTTGATTATATGATAGCCTACGCATATACTTCTAATCTCTTCTATTTTCATCTGATTTACTTAATTTTCGTCTTACATTATTTAATTTTATTTTTGATTATTTATGTACTTTATTTATGATAAATATAAATTTTATAATCAAATAATTAAGAATTAAGATATTTTCTAATTAAAAGGTTTTTACAAAGAACTTTGATTTGAAATGAGATTTATTTTGTTAATTAAACATTTCACAATGTGTTTTAATTTTAAAATTATTATTAAAATTTATGGTGGTTGTAATTTTTTTTAATAAATTCATTATTGCTATATTGGTACTTCATCTCTTTGTTATTAAATCGACTGTTTTAGTTTCTAAATTTCTTCATTGAACTTTATAAAGTCATCTCCCAAATTGAGAACTTCAACTCTTAACTTATCATCTTCAAGATTTTTTAATTCAATCAGCATTTCTTGTTTTTCTTAATCATTTTCCATAATATTAACATTTAGCTAATTAAAATATTTAATTTTATTACTTTATATTTAGTTTCATGTATATTTATAATTTTACCGCATTTATCAAAATGATCAATTATAGAACAAAACAAATTCTATGGATCATCATAAATTAAGATCTCATCAATCATTTTAGTTGGCAGACTCCTCTTTAAAACTCTATTTTCAAAAGTAAATTTGAATTTTTTCATTATCTATCTTTTTTTATTTATCATTGGATTCTTTTTCTAACTATTTCCTGATTTATATGATTATTATTATTAAGAATTTGTAGTTGATTCAATTTCTAATTCCATTCTTTACTATTTATCATGTTTATATTTCTTTTTTTATTCTTCCAATAATTAATCTATTTTTTCAATTTCAGAATTGAATTATTCTTATATTTAATATAAATTAGCTTCTACACCCATTGTCCAAGGATGTTACAAACATTCTTCAGGTGTTATTCTTCTATTAAAATCAGGATCAAACATCCTATTAATGAGATCTCTTAAAATATAGAACAATATAAAATACTTAAAATCATCTGGAAATCCTTATGGAAATAGTGTTTAATGTTATTTATTTTAAATATTCCAAAATTAGGCATAATCATTCTATTTAATTAAATTATATAGTTATTCTTTACAATTGTTAAAAGCAAATTAACCAGTTATCATTTTAAATAATATTTATGCAGCAGCAAAAACATCAACTTTTGATCCATCATAGGCTATTCTACCCAAAAGTTCAGGTGCCATATAATCTAAAATTTTAAATTGTAAATATACATTCTGTTCCTCCAAAGAAGTCGTTTATAAGGCCATTTGCTTCTTTAGAAATTCCAAATCCTGCAATTTTCAAATTAAAATCTGAGTCAAACACAATATTATCTGGTTTTAAATCCAAATGACAAATGTTATGTTTTTTCATATAAATTAAAGCTGTCATCAATTAACGAAAATAAAATCTTGAAGTTTTTTCATCAAATCTTTGAAGCACGTTCAAATACGAATTCATACTACCTTTTTCTCCTAATTCTAAGATCATACCAATTTTATAAACAATTTATCCATTTTTTTTCTATTTATAAAAATTTAATTACTTTGTAGGTAAGATTATCTCTATATGTTATAAGTTTAATTATTCTTTGATGGTCAAAAAGTTTTTATAAAATACAAACCTCTTATATTTGGTGAATTTGTATTTTAGCTCTTTCTTTTTCATTATTGATATTCAAAAACTTAATGGCTACTAATTCATGACCTTTTTTTCCCAATTTAACACTTATGACTTATAATCAATTTTATACACTCCACAAGCTCCATGACCTAGATATTTAATTATATAATAGCCTTCGCATTTACTAACTCCTTCAATATCCATTTATTATACTTATTTTTCGTTATAAATTTTATTTTTGATAATTTATGCACTTTAATTAAGATAAATATAAAATTTATAATCAAATAATTAAGAATTAAGATACTTTTTAATTAAAAGAGTGTTTTGAAAGGTTTGAATTATTTTGATTATCATATATTAAAAATACTAATGATAAGGAATGAATTTTCTCAACTTATGTGCGATCATAATTAGTAAATATAATTAAGAATTTTAATTAATACTTAATATTTATTATACTATACATTTCATATTCTATATGTTCAACTAAAATTACATTTCAATACTCTTCAATCTTTGATATACTCAGAAGTCTTTTAAAATGATTATCTAAGTAATTTGGATAATTCTTTATTGTATAATCCTAATAAATTAAAAATATTAATGACTCTTAATTATTATTATTATGTATCATAAATAAACTTTATAACTAAAAATTAGTGAATAAAAGCCATTTCATTAAATTATGATTATTCGCTCTTCTATAAATTTGGCAATTAATATATTTATTTAATAATTATAGTATATTGCTATTGACATAAAGCTTTTTAATAATATTTAAGAACAAATTTACTTCATATACTACTCTAGGCCTAAAATTAGAATAAAAAATATTGTATTTAATAGAAATCATTGAAAAATAATAAACTTTAAGATCAACAGAATAAATAGAACTAAAAAGAGAAATGAATTTAAATAATTGATATTTGAATTATTCAAGGAGAATGAAAAAATACAATCACAATTTATTAAATAAATTGAAATTTTTTCAATGTTTTTCAATTATATTTATATGTAATTTTTTATCTTTCAGGTATATACTTAATGAAAATCAGAATTACTTTTTTTTGTAATTAGATGGATATAAAAAAAATTTGATTTATTTTAAATCCTATAAGAATCTCATAGATTCATCCCATTATTTGATTTTCTTGTTCATAATCAATTTATATTTTTTATAAAATCATTAAAATAATTTTGATTAATTTAGGGTGGGAGTACTTATATATTTATTTTTTAAATCCTAAAGACCCCAAATACACATCATTTATAATGATGCTTTAATTTTTATTATATATATAATTAAAATATTTCGTGCTTATTATTTATTATTTAATTTTTATATGTTATTTAGATAAATTTTATAGGGTTATAATTATTTGGTAGAAATATATTACCTTCAATTTAGGGGTTTCTAATCAATGAAAATATTTTTACTTTCAAGTATGCTAGTAGAAGTCAAAAATTATAATTACTTTTTTTCATTTGAAAAAAAAATTAAAGTCATGAAACCTTAAAAATTGAATTCATAATGGTAAAATTATTTTTTTTATAAATGATAATAGTTTAAAGAAAATTGTAAATATAATAAATTATCTATAGATTTAAATTTATAATTAATCTAATAATTATTAATTGATTTCATCCTCTTTTGGGGATATTTTGAATGCTATACTCTTAAAAGTCATAATGTTTAAAGGTTTAGTACAATGCCATAATATTAAAATATTCATCATCAACGATTAAAACTCTTGAACAACATGTGCTTTTAAGAGAATAAGCTTAAATAGTATCTTAGAGTTATGGTATAAGGGATTAGAGAGTTTGATGAGTTTATTCATTTTATTCAATTTCTTTTCTTTTGAATAAACAGTAATATTGCCATCATCTATCCACTCATAATACATTTTAGGATTATAAATGATATAATATACATATAATAAACGTTCATAGTGTAATTTTATTTAAAGATTTCTCGAAAAATACTATATGTAGTAAAATTACTTATTCATTGACTGAATTATTTCAATCCAAATTAAGAATTTTACAGATTTAAAGATAAAATAAAAACTAATTAGAACTGATATTTTATTCAAAAAAGCAGTTTTAAACCATTTCATACACCTTTAAATATTTTTATTTAGGCTGGATAAAATAGAAATGTATTTATAAAAACATTCATTTGATTTTTACATTTATCATATAGTTATTATTAATAATTTTATTCATGATATTATAATATTTATTAGGTGAAGTAGATAAAATTATTAATATAATTATATTAATATTTCAATTTTTTAAAGACAAAAAGATGAATAAGCTATTCTTTAAGAAATCAATATATAACATGATCTTTATAAGTTCATTTTTAGTAATTCATTATTTTTAAATAAAATCAGAATTATTAAATAAAGAGTTTATATTGATAATCCTTAACAAAAATTGAATTAGAATTATAAAGATTCTCAAAAGTTAGATAACTTAAAATTATAAAGTGCTATTATATAAACTATGATAAAGTAGAATAGGAACAATTGAAATTTATATCTCTGGTGGCAAAAAGCTTTATAGTTTAAGAATTTTTCAAAAAGTTTTAATATTTATATAAATCTACTATTTTTTAATTCTATTTAAAATAAATATATTCAGAATGACTAAAAAGAAGAAAATATTTTACAAAAAGTACTTGTTTTGTAAAACATATGTATATACTTTAGCATCTGATTTACATGTTTATATTTTTTTAAATAATCAAATCACAAAACTATTTAATTAATTTTTGATATACTTTTAATTTGAAAGAGTTTATGTTTACATAAAAGCGAAATCTTGAATTTTATTTGTTAAGATCTTCGAAAGAATCTTGGAGGAATCATATTTTAAGGTTTTTAAAATTGTTCAATTAATAATTTTGGGAGATATAGAAGGAATATTTTGCAAACTTAAATGTTAATTTTGCAATCAAATAACCTGAAGATTATCAGTATCAGTAGAATAAGATTAAAAACTGTCAATTTTCAAATTTCATTAAATTACGTTCTTCCTTTGGAGAAATTCTTAATACTAAATAACTAAATTAATTGATTAAGCCATTAAATTAGAGTCTAAGTTTGATTGTGCAAAATTCATCTTGAAAAATAAATTCGAATTCTTTAATTCAACAAAATTTAGTGATTCTAACAATAAACATTAGAAACAAGTTATAAAATATATTTTATGAATAGATACAAAACTCTTTTTTTATATGAATAATTATAAAATACATATGGAATCATTAATAAATGACTAAAAACAATATAGTGATTATATATGCTCTTATTTTAAATAATAATCCCTTAATTTTACTTTCTTATCCTTCTCATTTATATGATTATTATGATTATTGCAATAAATTCCTCATTTCTCTGCTCTTTCTTAATCTCTCCTCATTTATTATTAACGTTAATATTCCTCTTCTTATTATTTCTATAATTGATTTATTCTTTCCTACACATTATTGAATTAATCTTGTATTTAATTTAATTTAGCTTCTACACCCATTGTCCAAGGATGTTACAAACATTCTTCAGGTGTTATTCTTCTATTAAAATCAGGATCAAACATCCTATTAATCAGATCTCTTAAAATATAGAACAATATAAAATACTTAAAATCATCTGGAAATCCTTATGGAAATAGTGTTTAATGTTATTTATTTTAAATATTCCAAAATTAGGCATAATCATTCTATTTAATTAGATTATATAGTTATTCTTTACAATTGTTAAAAGCAAAACAACCAGTTATCATTGCAAATAATATTTATGCAGCAGCAAAAACATCAACTTTTGATCCATCATAGGCTATTCTATCCCAAATTTCAGGTGCTACATAAGCTAAAATTTTAGTTTAAAATATACATGGTGTTCCTCCAAAGAAGTCGTCTATAAGGCCATTTGCTTATTTAGAAAATCCAAATCCTGCAATTTTCAAATTAAAATCTGAGTCAAACACAATATTATCTGGATTTAAATCCAAATGACAAATGTTAAGACCTTTCATATAAACTAAAGCTGTCATTAATTAACGAAAATAAAATCTTGAAGTTTGTTCGTCAAATCTTTTAAGTGATAGCAAATACCAAATCATCGTACCTTTTTCTCCAAATTCTAAGATCATACCAATTTTATTAACAATTTATCCATTTTTTTTCTATTTATAAGAATTTAATTACTTTGTAGGTAAGATTATCGCTATATTTTATAAGTTAAATTATTCTTGGATGTTTATTGTTATTAAGTTATTATAAAATTTAAACCTCTTATTATAGTTTTTATATTATTTTAGGCCTTTATTATTCATTTTATATCTTCAAAAACTTAATGGCTACTAATTCATGACCTTTTTGTCCCAATTTAACACTTATGACTTATAATCAATTTTATACACTGCATACGCTCCTTTGCCCAGATATTTGATTATATGATAACCTTCACATTCACTGCTTGGCTACTCCTATTACATTTCTTATCTTTTTTTTAAATTTTATATTTTTATTTTTGATAATTTATGTACTTTATTTAAGATAAATATAAATTTTATAATCAAATAATGCAGAATTATGTTTTCAAAGAACTTTGATTTGAAATGAGATTTATTTTGTTAATTAAAAATTTCAATATGTGTTTTAATTTTTACATTTTTAAAATTATGGTGGTTGTAATTTTTTTTAATAAATTCATTATTGCTATATTTGTACTTCATCTCTTTGTTATTAAATTGACTATTTAAGATTCTAAATTTCTTCATTGAACTTTATAAAGTCATCTCCCAAATTGAGAACTTCAACTCTTAACTTATCACCTTCAAGTTTTTTCAATTCAATCAGCATTTCTTGTTTTTCTTAATCATTTTCCATAATATTAACATTTAGCTAATTAAAATATTTAATTTTATTACTTTGTATTTAGTTTCATGTATATTGATAATTTTACCGCATTTATCAAAATGTTCAATTATAGAACAAAACAAATTTTTTGGGTCATCATAAATTAAAATCTCATCAATCATTTTAGTTGGCAGACTCTTCTTTAAAACTCTATTTTCAAAAGTAAATTTGAATTTTTTCATTAACTATCTTTTTTTATTTATCATGGGATTCTTTTTCTAACTATTTCCTGATTTATATGATTATTATGATTATTGTAATAAATTCCTCATTTCTTAATCTGCTCTTTCTTAATCTCTCCTCATTTATTATTAACGTTAATATTCCTCTTCTTATTATTTCAATTATTGATTTATTCTTTCCTACACATTATTGAATTATTCTTATATTTAATATAAATTAGCTTCTCCATTCATTGTCCAAGGATGTTACAAACATTATTCAGGTGTTATTCTTCTATTAAAATCAGGATCAATCATCCTATTAATCAGATCTCTTAAAATATAGAACAATATAAAATACTTAAAATCATCTGGAAATCCTTATGGAAATAGTGTTTAATGTGTATTATTTTAAATATTCCAAAATTAGGCATAATCATTCTATTAAATTAGAATATATAGTTATTCTTAACAATTTTTAAAAGCAAAACAACCAGTTATCATTTTAAATAATATTTATGCAGCAGCAAAAACATCAACTTTTGATCCATCATAGGCTATTCTATCCCAAAGTTCAGGTGCCATATAATCTAAAATTTTAAATTGTAAATATACTTTTAGTTCCTCCAAAGAAGTCGTTTATCAAGCCATTTGCTTATTTAGAAAATCCAAAATCTGCAATTTTCAAATTAAAATCTGAGTCAAACAAAATATTATCTGGTTTTAAATCCAAATGGCAAATGTTAAGACCTTTCATATAAACTAAAGCTGTCATCAATTAACGAAAATAAAATCTTGAAGCTTGTTCGTTAAATCTTTTAAGTGTTAGCAAATACGAATTCATACTACCTTTTTCTCCAAATTCTAAGATCATACCAATTTTATTAACAATTTATCCATTTTTTTTCTAATTATAAGAATTTAATTACTATGTAGGTAAGATTATCACTAAAATATTTAAGTTATACAATTCCATCATAGTTATGGTTATTAAGTTGTTCTAAAATTTAAACCTCTTATTATAGTTTTTATATTTTTTGTGGCCTTTCTTATTCATTTTTGACCTTCAAGAGCTTAATGGCTACTTATTCATGACCTTTTTGTCCCAATTTAACACTTATGACTTATAATCAATTTTATACACTGCAGAAGCTCCATGACCTAGATATTTAATTATATAATAGCCTTCGCATTTACTAATTCCTTCTTCTTCCATCTGGTTTACTTAATTTTCGTCTTACATTTTTTAATTTTATTTTTGATTATTTTTGCACTTTATTTAAGATAAATAAAAATTTTATAATCAAATAATTAAGAATTAAGATATTTTCTAAATAAAAGAGTGTTTAGAGACTTTGATGTATTTTGATGATCAAATATATATAATTTTTTATCTCTAATAAAATTCTTACATAATTAAGTATATATAAACAATACAAATGATAAGGAATGAATTGTCTCATCCTATTTGCAATCATAATTATAATTCCAAATTTAAATATAATAATAAAGAATTTTAATTAATACTTAATATTAATTATACTATACATTTCATATTCTATATGTCCAACTAAAATAAGATTTCAATACTCTTTAATCTTTGATATACATTAAAGCATCTATTAAAATGATTATCTAAGTAATTTGGATAATTATTTATTTTATAATCATATAATAAATTAATAAATATTAATNAGATCTCTTAAAATATAGAACAATATAAAATACTTAAAATCATCTGGAAATCCTTATGGAAATAGTGTTTAATGTTATTTATTTTAAATATTCCAAAATTAGGCATAATCATTCTATTAAATTAGATTATATAGTTATTCTTGACAATAGCTAAAAGCAAAACAACCAGTTATCATTGTAAATAATATTTATGCAGCAGCAAAAACATCAACTTTTGATCCATCATAGGCTATTCTATCCCAAAGTTCAGGTGCCATATAATCTAAAATTTTAAATTGTAAATATACTTTTAGTTCCTCCAAAGAAGTCGTTTATCAAGCCATTTGCTTATTTAGAAAATCCAAAATCTGCAATTTTCAAATTAAAATCTGAGTCAAACAAAATATTATCTGGTTTTAAATCCAAATGGCAAATGTTAAGACCTTTCATATAAACTAAAGCTGTCATCAATTAACGAAAATAAAATCTTGAAGCTTGTTCGTTAAATCTTTTAAGTGTTAGCAAATACGAATTCATACTACCTTTTTCTCCAAATTCTAAGATCATACCAATTTTATTAACAATTTATCCATTTTTTTTCTAATTATAAGAATTTAATTACTATGTAGGTAAGATTATCACTAAAATATTTAAGTTATACAATTCCATCATAGTTATGGTTATTAAGTTGTTCTAAAATTTAAACCTCTTATTATAGTTTTTATATTTTTTGTGGCCTTTCTTATTCATTTTTGACCTTCAAGAGCTTAATGGCTACTTATTCATGACCTTTTTGTCCCAATTTAACACTTATGACTTATAATCAATTTTATACACTGCAGAAGCTCCATGACCTAGATATTTAATTATATAATAGCCTTCGCATTTACTAATTCCTTCTTCTTCCATCTGGTTTACTTAATTTTCGTCTTACATTTTTTAATTTTATTTTTGATTATTTTTGCACTTTATTTAAGATAAATAAAAATTTTATAATCAAATAATTAAGAATTAAGATATTTTCTAAATAAAAGAGTGTTTAGAGACTTTGATGTATTTTGATGATCAAATATATAAACAATACAAATGATAAGGAATGAATTGTCTCATCCTATTTGCAATCATAATTATAATTCCAAATTTAAATATAATAATAAAGAATTTTAATTAATACTTAATATTAATTATACTATACATTTCATATTCTATATGTCCAACTAAAATAAGATTTCAATACTCTTTAATCTTTGATATACATCAAATCATCTATTAAAATGATTATCAAGTAATTTGGATAATTCTTTATTTTATAATCTTAATAAATTAATAAATATTAATGACTCTAAATTATAAATAAACCTTATTTAATAATTTATAGTATATTGCTATTGATAAAAAGCTTTGTAATAAGATTGAATAGAAATCATTGAATAATAATATAATATAAGATCAACTGAATAAAATAGAATTAAAGAAAAAAATAAAAATAATAATTAATTGTTGATATCTGCATTTTTTATCTTTCAATTATATACTTAATAAAAATCAGAATTACTTTCTTTTATAATTAGATGGATAAAAAGAAAATTTGATTTATTTTAAATCTATTAAGAATCTCATAAATTCATTTTATTATTTAATTTTCTTATTCATAATCAAATTTATACATTTCAATCTTGTAATTAATCAATTCGAATTTAATATAATCTAATATTTAAGAGCCAAATTTTAATAAGCTCTTATTAAGCAAAGTTATAAATATTCGAATATCAAATCTTTAAAGATACTCACACACAAAAAAATATTTATAATATCTTCTCATATTATCTTAGCAAAGAAGGCTAACCTCTTAGGAAGTAAACAAGATTCTTAACGGTTGAAATATCGAAGTTGGTTGTTGAAGTATTCTTTGCCAGGTTTTATTTGACCAAAGCTAACATAAACCAAACATAAAAGTCTAATAGAAAGTAGAAAGCAAGACTATGTAATTTTTATTTTCTCTGTTTATTATTGTAGGAATCAGGCAGCTACTCATTATTGCCAAGTAGTTTGTTTTCATAACATTGTATTTTAATATAGAGGAATAATCTATATTTAGAGAGTGCTAATTTGTTAATGGAAGTTTCATTTTTCAACGCCGCAAGGTTGAGGACTCAAAATAATTAGTTTATCTAGGTTTGATTGGATACTAGAGCGATCCTATGCCGTATTTTATCTCTGGTAAAAGGGAAGGAATTATTTTTAGAAATTTAAATTTTAGTTGAAAAAATTTTATTGTTAATTTAAATGAGACGCTCTTATAAATTTGTCCTTAAACTTTTGTTATTGAAAAAAATTTAATAATCTTTTATTATAACTATTAACTGTTCGAGATTATCTAGCCTATTAATTTGTAGCATAACGAATAGTAGGATTCTTATACAATATAGTGGACTAAAGAGGGATTTTTTTCAAGTACATAATGAAGACTCAAGAGATAGTCTATTCCCTATCATAAGAATTAAGTTTTGCGATAATCTTTTTGTGGTAACCTCTTTAAATCGTTCATCTATTCTTCGTCAGTGCCTGAATCAGATTTCGTGAGATTTTCTCAATTCTATTCCTACATCATTAAAAATAGAGGAATATGTGGCATTTTTTTTGGTTATACTAAGGAGCCGAGTTTCGGTTAAAAAAAATAAATTAGGAATGATTTGGGTAAAAATTCTTTCTTGAAGCCAAGAGTTTTATCCCATTAAAAGTTTTTACGGCTATCCAAAAAATTATATTTCAACATTGTTCCCATAAATCAAACTTGGAGAAAAAGATTATTTTACAGAAAAATCAGATAATTATAGATCAAGTTTCCAATTTAGGAAAGAAGAGGAGGAGCAAAAGAAATAATATTTATTTTACTTTGAAACTTTAGACTTTGAAAGTTACTATTCTCGAAAATATGATTGATTTAGTTGATTGATAATCTGAATAAAGAGGCAATATAATTAGTTGTATATTATTCTTATCTCAATAAAGAAATTGAGTTTCTTATATTTTGACTGAATAAAAGTTTTATTCCTTTATTATCAAATACTCTATTAATTTTTCTAAATAGTAGAATTTTCTTATTTTAGCTTTCATGATATTTTCTAGATTTAATAGTTCGTACTAAGGTTAGCAATTTCTAATTATTCTGGTAATATATAAAGAATTCTGATTTGAAAATTATTTTCATTAAATAGAGAAAGCAATTAATATTATAAAGTACAGTTTGAGTGTCCGATTCTGAGTTTTTACATTTAAATCCTTTTCTATTTATAAAGAAGAATCTGCCCTTTATCACATAAATTTATATCATTATTAATAAATGATTGAAAAGGGTTTCATTGAAATAAATATCAAATAAGGACCAAAAATTAATATAGAATATTTATTGATTTTTTTTGTTATTTTGATTATTATCTCATATTTTGAAGTAAATATTTATTATTATTATTATTATTATTATTATTATTATTATTATTATTATTATTATTCAATTTAACACACACATATATATCATAGTCCTTCAATTTCATTTCTGAATGTCTTTGATTTTATCAATTAATTCTTCTAAACGTTTCTTCTTAAGCTTACTTTTGGTCGCATTCTCTTGAACCGAATACTTTTGGTTATGCATCCACTAGATTAATTCACTTATATGAAAACTAGAATGATAATTTACAATATGAATGTAGGATAGTTAACAGTTGGGTTTGGGTTTGGGTTTGGGTTTGGGTTTGGGTTTGGGTTTGGGTTTGGGTTTGGGTTTGGGTTTGGGTTTGGGTTTGGG